ACCAGTTTTTCAATAGTTTCTTGTTGAAAATCAACATTAGGAAGCATTGTTATCGATGCGTAGCCATATTTCTGATCGATTGGTGATACAATTATTGAAATTGGACCAGGGGCAGCTGAGTTATTAACGTTCAAAATCTTTCTTAATTTGTTACATGTTCCATTTTCGGTTTTCACAAAGTGAACCCCCATATAGAAATCAAAGACGTAGTCCTACGTCAAAAATCATTTTCTGGATATTCACAGATAGGACATATTGCTGCTGTTTCAGGCTGATTAGCACCATAGTCGTATTGACAGTTTGAGAAAAAATATATTCTGACTGGTGGGCATGAATATGCATCGAATAAACTTGAAAAAGTTTTAAATGATTCTGGAAAAGTTTTAGTGCCTGATATAATATTCATCATCCGCAGAAAATCCTCTAAAGCTTCTTGTGTAAGATGATGTCGAATATAATAGTTCAGAATCATATACAAAATCTCAGCCGTCAGTAAATCAAAGTGAACTTGGAACTGTTTGGTATGATTTTCGGAGAATATCTGAAAGTAGTAGAGGATGCAGAAGAAACTTTTATAACAGTATGCTGAATTTATACCTTGAAAAAATCATTCCAACTGCCTTGTCGATCTTGATCATCCTCTGTGTGCTGACTTACAACGGTTTCTTGTGGAACGAGCACAGGTCCTATAACGTTCACATTGATTGCTCCATTCTCTCGATCTTGAGTACGCTGGGAGGAAAGATCTTCTGGTTGGTCGTTTGGAACGTCTTCAGCGAGCTGACTTGGTGGATTGAGAGTCACAGGTGGAGTGATATGTTCATGCGGATTATCGGCAACTTCATCACAGCCTAATACTTCCACGTCATTTGAATTGTTGATGGTTCTGATGCTGGACTGATAGTAACAAAAACTATAACTTTTGTAAATATTTTTTTTATATCACGTACGTGTTTACCCTTTTTTCGTACTTATGCCCTTCATATATTGGTGAAAGATAATGATTTCGCCTTCTCCTTGGCTTCATTATGTACAATAATCGTACGCATAAATTAAATATTTATAAAACAGATTCACTTTATAATAATGAAATCTCCAACAGTCAACAAGCAGTGCTGACACAATGAAGTACAAGAGGTTCGGCAATGAGAATTAGCCATCTCGGTCATTATCCCGTTGCTTGTGTGCAACACTGAGTTTGACGTCACATGCATAAGAAGAACGGAAGAATGAAAGAGATAAAACATCCACATTTTCAGACCGGTTCTTTACGTTATTGGTGTTGACAGCCAAATCAAGGAATGTAGTTTTTTTCTCTCAAATAGGTGGTCTACGATATGATCACGATATACACTGAAAAAAAATACAAGTGTAACTTACATTGGATGCAAACACTAAGATTTTGTTTCCGTGTTCGGTAAATTTTACCGAAATCAGAACAGCTGAACGTTCGGTAAAACTTTGAACTTCATGTTAAAGGCTATTGAATTTGAAAATAATATCAAAACATGTTCAATCTTGTTTAAATGATCAAAATTTGTCATTTTAGTGGAGATTTAGTTTCAAAGTAGCTGAAAAGCAATTGAATTGAATTGCATAAATTTTACCGAAAAGTAATAATATGGTAATACCATAGAGGTAACTCTAATAGTACGTTCAGACTACAGAGTTATAACATGTTATAGCGCTATCTTGATGGTGGTTTCTGTGTTGCAATTAGTTGACAACCGTTATAACATGTAATAACTCTCCAGTCTGGACAGCGTTTAAGACTAGAAGGTCCCGAAACAACGTGCTCAACTTTTTGCCTCAGCTCTGGTACTCTCTTCGGTCCCAAGCTAATCGATTCACCTCTCGAAACATAGGAAAACCCAATCACCCCTCATTTTATCTGTCAAACTTTCATAGCCAATCAAAACAAACATTGCGTAGTACTAGAATTTCGACTAGAATGGGGTACGTTAATCGTTTGCTTGGGATCAATAGGCTAGTCAAGTAGTGAGCCAATTGGGTTCTTTAATTTTGAAAAATGTATCGTTTTTTATACATCATCTGAAAGAGCTTCGTTTTCGGAGCACAGCGATATTTTTTTCGAACCCACACACTTTCATCTCGATTTTTAAATCAAGATTTAAAGCAAAATAATAACTTCACTGTTTGACACTAATAGTACGTTCAGACTACAGAGTTATAACATGTTATAGCGCTATCTTGATGGTGGTTTCTGTGTTGCAATTATTTGACAACCGTTATAACATGTTATAACTGCTCAGTCTGGCCAGCGTTTAAACTAACAAACTGACAGCTCACTCCCATACAAAGTGACACCGAGGGGCGCTAATAAGGTGATTTTTGCAAATGTAAACGTACTTATTTAAAATAGTTCCAGTGTACCAAAATTGATGAAATTTTGGGTTTGGGTTCCATTTTTAATGAATATTACGAATGTGCATTTACCTCAATACCCTTAAAGAACCCAATTTAAAATCGTTAGTTTCGTATTGATTGTTGGTATTACCAAGCCGGAGGCGGCGGGTTTGATTCCCCGTCCGGTCGAGGGAATCTTTCGGGTTGAAAATTTTCTCGACTTCCCTGGGCATAGAGTATCAACAAAGATGAATACTAAGATGAAACTGTCGGAAGAAAAACTTTCTATTTTATTGTCCTCTTTCACTGTCCCTTTCATCTAATGAATACCTCCCGTATTCAAGGTAATTTTGTGGTTTTGCTGCCCCCTCGGTAGAGATGAAATTTTGCGCTCATTTTCATCAAAACAATCACACCAAAATCAGAGATGTCCCATTTTTTAATTACTCGATTAACAACTAATCGATTATTTTTTGTTCGCTGTACTGCCATTTTTCCACCAATGAGAGTGCAGCACATGTTTGAAACGATCGGTGATGATCCTCTGGAGAAGTTAATGCTTATATCTGCATGATATAACCGATTACAAATATTTTACTTTTCGGTTCGTTAATCGATTAATCGATAATTCGAATGAAAATTGGCCATCACTAGATGAATGTGAAACGTCATTTCAAATATATGGACCGTACATAAATAATGATACAATTTGAAAGGGACCGGGGCTAATCCCAAATTACGTCCCCCGGTAACTGAAATAAACACGAGTGCTCACCGGTTGGTATCAATGTGCTTGCCACACAATATACAAATTCACATTCACAACATACAAATGTTCCATAATGTTATGACAAATAGTTTAATGATTTTAAAATTGATCATACAAAAACTATATGTCTTATATTAAACCTGAAACTTTGTTCTAAAATATCGACCTTATTGAATGGTAATTATACTTAACCGCCTATCCCATATAGTTGTTTTGCATAATACAATATATGGTATCCTCAGGACAATTCATGGTATTGTATGCTTATCGTTTTTATACATGCTGACTAGAATCGTACGGATATACTTATTTATGGTACATAATGATACTGTGAATCATCCTTTCAATGATTACGATTATGTGGGTGACTACCATAATCATTACAATTAAAGTTCTCAAGCCATACATAAAAAGGTCCTAATATAGTTCCCCTTTAGCGGCGCCGGTGGTGTAGTGGTAAGCGTGAACCTCTCACCCTAGCAGGCCTGGGTTCAATCCCAGTCGGCGCCGCCGGATGTTCTGAGGCATAACATCTCTGATCATGCCTTCCTTTGAAAGGGAAGTAAAGCCGTTGGTCCCCAAATCATGAGTTGATGGGTCAATAAATAGGATCCAGGTGTGGGAGCTGCCTCCCTGGCGTCGGTAACATTGGTGCTCAGCACGGAAAACAAGTTCAACGGAAAACAAATCAAGGAAAATAAAATATAGTTACCTTTCCGAAAACGTATGAAGAAATCAAGCATTTATTCAACCTATATACAATTAAAAAAAACAAACGAGTTACTAATCATTTGTTTAAAACCAACCAGCTAGGTGTTACTGCTATCTTATTCACCTTGCCTTGACAAGAGATATCATCATTGTAAGCCTCATAATTATAGTTGTAAACATATAGAATATTGAAGACTGAATTTTTAAAAAGGCGTGACTGATATTTCTGATATTGTTAATATTTTTTTCAAAAAAAAACTTATAATAACAAATAATGGCATTGAGTTCTGATTATATAAAAAGTTTAAATGGTTGACAAAAGTGATAAACTTTCCTCAGTGCAGACAAATAACAAAGTGCAGGCATGCAATTGATTACAAAAACCTAGGAGCGTATCAGCTGATACCAACTAATTTCTCGAAAAAATAAATCCTATTCACTATTGGCTACTTTTTGCCCACAAAAGTTTAACTGATTACCAAAAATGAGTAATAATCTGTTCCCACAACAGATCATAATATGTAACATAAGCATCCCTTCCCTTATATTAATGTTTCAGTAACATTTGTTTATAAAAACCAACCAATTAAAAAAATTTGGGTACTTTTAACCCACAGATGAGAGTTACCCATCTACCTAAGTAACTGTTCTTCATATTTGAGTAATAGTTATCCACCTGTACTATTGAAAATAGTATCGGTTGCATGAATTAAAAAAATGCCTATTTTTTAATGACAGTGAATTTTGTTGTGTGTATTGATTGCAGTCATTTTATTATGGCAACCTTAATTGTGTTGATCAACTACTATCTTCGCATCGACTTTTTCACGAAGAGCTCTCGTCACCACGTAAACGGTTTTTCCATTCGGTGCTCTTTTTCCTCGGTTTTATTAGAAATTATTACAAATAAAATGGTGCAAACTCGAAAAAATGGCAACAAAAAGAAAACACAAAAAGCAGCCGATGCTGCGAACATGTCATTCCTGGAAAATGTAAGTATTTCTTATAAAATTAATTGTTAAAAAGAGAAATAAAAAACACTTACACCGGCTTGCACATAACCTCAGTTATTCCGATGTTCCATGTATAGTTAGAATTAATAGTAATCTGGAACGGGGTTTCACTTTAACTTTTACATATTTTCTCTTTACAGCAATCAATCGAACCGCAACCTGGACCTTTGACCAAGAAACAGTGAACGTCGAAGAATGTGACAATCGAGGTAGTTTTTCTAATCGAATTTCAAACAAATCCCAACACTAGCTTTCTATAAGCTCAAAGAAATTGCAAATTAAACTAATAAACTAATTGTCGATCTTATTTTTAACCGACTTTCTTTTTACAGCAAACAATCGAACCACAGCCAGGCAATTCGGACAAACCCCATCGGATGTCTAAAAATGCATCAATCGAGGTTGGTTTTTCAAATGTTTTGGAAGTTAACTAATATTTACACATTAATGTTTGTTTTTAGCCAATGGACTTAAGTAATTCGGCACCGGTAGTGAAATTTGATCATGATGGCCTCGGTAGCATTAAGACGAAGGCTCATGAGGAGATTGAGCATCCTAGTTCGATCCAAGCTTTCGGTGACGTAAGCGTTGATTCAACTGATCAACTGCAGATGAAGTCCGATACATGTCATCATGTTAACGATGATAATTTTCAGGAAACTCAAGCTGCCGTCAACATCTGCAGTGATTCAAATCTCCACGAAGAGTGTAACGCTAAGATTAAAGATCTACAGAAGCAAAATTTGCAGTTGAAAGAGGATAATGCAAAGCTTAAAATAGAGAACTCACAGTTGTCGACCACTCAATTTCAAACTCCAAGAAAAAGTGGTGCAGCACAACAATCGTTTGCTAGTTTTTACGGCAGTTGATGGTTATCCATCATCTGATTGGTTGCTGCGAATATCACAAGTTGCTAACAAAAGTGACTACTTATTCGCTAAAGAGCTTGTAATGGAGTTGGCCATGCAACAGTAACGGGTCGTTCGTCAAACAATCCGAGTGGAAATAAGAAACGCACTGTAGCAAGTTTAGAAGAAACTGAGGCGTCCTCAATTGCAGCCTCCTCCTCCACCGCAGCACCGGCAGCACCAGCATCCTCGTCACCGTCTACAACAGCACTCACTCCTCCCTCAAAACTGGATCCAGAGAAAGTGGAGTACATCATAAGTATGTAACAATACTTAACACTGAGGAAGTTCCAATAATACTTAATTGTTCACAGAACGTCTCTACGAGCGAAGACAGCTTCTAGAAGACCCACAAGGCATAGCTCATGATCTTGAGAAGAAGGTAGTTGAGCATATCAACCGTACTCTGGCCAGTAATCCAGCCTTTAAATCCGCCGATGGTTAAAGACACCGGAGTTTTTTTTATTCCTAAATGAATAATCTTCAGCATTAATTCAAGCAAAGGGTTTTTTTATCATACAGTACCAAAAAGAAATTTTAACTTTGAATTAATTTAAGGATGTTAAGTTCTTACAAATAAACGTTTATTAAACAGGGTTGCTTCCACTCACTTGCTAGAAAACAATATTTTTCGGAACTATGCAATCATTAGATGATATAATGATGTGTTGTACTTGTAAATAACAATAAGAGGGTGTAAAGTATGTATTTGACTCATAAAACCTATCAATTTTGCTTTCAGAGCGTCACAATAAGCGATCTTATGATTCGCGAGCGTTCACTCAGAGTGAGCGCTCACGAATCGTTAAATCGCTGATTGTGACGCACTAAAAGCAATATTGACAGGTTTTATGTGTCAACCACATACTTCACGACGTCTTCTTGTAACTTACTTGTGCTAATTATCATTATAACATCTAATATTTTCATAATTCAGAAAAACATTTTGTTTATAGCAAGTGAGTGGAAGTAACCCTGATTAAAATAAAAAAAAAAATAAAAATACTAGTTACGGTCATTTGAAAGCTAAATTTGGTATCTTTTAGGAATTGAAGTAGAAAAAATAACAAAACGTGGTATTTCAGATTTTTGTACAAAAATACCTCAAAGAGTTATTGGATTAGTATTGAATACCAAAATAAGTCATTCATGTATCGAAAACATGTTTGATATTCGTCAGTTATTATAATAACTAAATTAGTGATTTTTTTGATATTCGTAGAACATTTTTGAGTGATTATTTTTGGTATTTTACCTCTTATGTCAGGCTTGTCAATACCAAATTAAGATGTTCAGTTATGCTGTATAGCATACCTGAGCTTGGTATTCATAAGTATTTTTTTCCTGCTCGGGCTTTGTCAGTCAAAATTGGATTCCTTAGCTACAAAATTGAGGAATGACACCGATAAGGACCATGCATCAGAACCACTTCAACCGAGGGAACAACGAATATAAGATTAGGAATCACATAGATGAAGGCTAACTGCATATATAGAGGTACCATACATGTTTTGACCGCACTGCTCTCTGTTAAAAATTAATGGAACTAAGAACAGCATCTGAAGGAAAATTAACGCATGGTAACATAATTAATTGCATGATATTTGTTTGCGTAGCACAGAAGTAGTGATGGAAAATTTCGTGAAAACTCTCCATGACCACAGAAAACAGACGTTGAACTTCCGTCCGGCCCTTGTTTAAATAAAAGTGGGAATATTGCGTTACGTGGCGCTAGTATCTTCTTATTTCCTCTATAAATTTACCACTTTCGCTCAATTTGGCGCTAGTAGAACTTGATAAATTTTCTGTTGAAAATTGCCACTCGGCGCTACCGGTACTTAGTGCCCAATGACATTTATATAAGGTCTGGGCCAACAGGCAGCTTGCTGGTGTTAGAAACAAAAATGTTGTAAACATTGCTGAACATCTGCGAACAGATAGATATACGTCACTGCCAACATACTGAGAATAGATAGAAATACGTCACTGCCAACAGCTGTTTCGTGTAAAAAGATAAACATTGCAATATAATACGAACACCACTAACCATTTGCACATTTCACTAACACCAATAAGCCCTTTGGCCCAGACCTTATATAAACGTCATTGCTTAGTGCCTACTGTAAGTTGTGCAACTCCAGCGCCATCATGTTGTCAAAGATGGTTTTTGTGTGGGGGAAGTCGGCCTTGGTGGCGCTTAAGTCGAATTGGAATCTTTACACTAGTTTTTACAGACATTTTGATCGTACCTCAACGTCTGTTCTCTGTGCTATGACTCGCGAAATTATACCTTGCTGAACTTCGTGAAATAGCTCGAACTTTTCCAACGCTGCACTGAAGAACAACATTTATGAGTTTTATGTCGTGCAACATTTTCCATATCACAGTTCGTTTTCCTTTGCGTTGTATTATTACGTTATGTACATCGGACTATATCATCATAACATAATGTTAGGGGCAATGCAATAATAACGTAAGAATTTGAAGGGAAATTTTTCACGTTTTCTTGTAAGGGAGTCTCAGCAATATCCTACGTAAACATGAAGAATACAGAACTTGTTAATGTTCGATGTAAGTAATACCTTACTAAGGAGGGGGTAGGCTAGAAAAATTTGAAAAAAGCTGCAGCAAAACGTGCTGCAATTTTGCATAACATCACATTTTAACATTACATAATTACATCATATAACAGCACTAATCATTTTATTCCATTTATCATGTTACGCAACTTTTTTCGTGTCGTGCAACATTTTTCAAGTCGTGCAGCATCCGTCGGAATTTTCTGAGGCATAAAATCTCTGATCACACCTTCCTTCGGAAGGTAAGTAAAGCCTTTGGTCCCCGGTCCATGAGTTGATTGGTCGATAGGTAGGCTCCAGATGTGAGAACTGTCTTTCTGGAGTCGGTAGCATCGGTACTCAGTGCGGAAAACAAGGATTTCAGGATCCACGAAAATAATCTTATAAGCTTATATTTTAGGGAGAGCTTAAATAAGTTCCAATTTTCTTGAGGTTCTAGAAGGCAACGTTCGAATGTACTTACCTTACCAATCAGGCTAAGGTCTTGTTGTCCTCTGCTGTCCGAAGAAGTCGTCTCCACTCTACTCGATCCATGGCCACACTTCGCCAGCCTCGTAGTCTGCGAAGTGTCCGCAGGTCGCCTTCTGCTTGGTCGCTCCACCTCCGCTCCGCTGCGCATTACGACGTGCCCAGCCCCAATTTTTGCAATGTGGACGATGGATGGTTCTCTCAGCAGCTGGTGCAATTCGTGGTTCCACCGTAGATGGTACGCAACACCTTCCGTTCGAAAACACCACCGCGCGTTGGTCCTCCACGAGCATAGTCCAGGACTCGTGGCCGTAGAGGACCACCGGTCTAATCAGCGTCTTGTAGACAGTCAAATTCGTGCGGCGGCGAATTTTATTCGACCAGAGCGTCCTCCGGTGTCCAAAGTAGACACGAATCCCTGCCATAATGCGTCTTTGAATTTCTCTGCTGGTATCATTTTCGGCAGTCACCAGTGAGCCCAAATACACGAACTCATCGACCACCTCGATTTCGTCACCGTCAAACTGAACTCGGGGTGGGAGGCTAACATTGTCTTCCCTAGAACCTCTTCCTTTCATGTACTTTGTCTTTGATGCGTTTATGGCAAGTCCAATCCGCCTAGCTTCAGCCTTCAGTATGATGTACGTTTCCGACATCGTCTTAAAGTTTCGTGCCATGATGTCAATGTCATCGGCAAAGCCAAGAAACTGGATGGACTTCCTGAACATCGTGCCACACGTCTCTATCCCTGCTCTTCTGATCACACCTTCTAACGGACGTTGAATAGCAGACACGAAAGTCTATCACCTTGACGTAACCCCTTCGAGATTCAAAGGGACTCGGGATACTCGAACAACGCACATCACTCGATCCATCGTAGCCTTGACCAATTGCGTCAGTTTATCCGGAAATCCGTACACTGTCGGGTAATATCCCCTCCTCCCAAATCTTGGCAATTACCCAGTGCAGCGCTCTAGCTAGTGCTTCACCACCTTATTTTAATAGCTCACTTGGTAGTTGATCTACACCAGTTGCTGTGTTGTTCTTCAGCCGACCGATCTCTCCTCCTTCTTGAAGATCAGGGGCCGGTATCCTGTCGTCTTCTGCGCGTGCTCCAAGGTCTGTTGCCGTGCCACCTTCGTTTTCTGCTGCTTCACCGTTGAGGTGCTCGTCATAGTACTGCTTCCACCTTTCAATCACCTCACACTCGTTCGTGAAAAGGTTACCATG